GGGTGTTACACACAGAGCACCATGCAAAAGTCACTCCAAATTTCTTTGCCAGGTAAAGGGGACATTGTTTGTTTGTTTGGAATTTGTGTGAGTGTTTGCAGTGTGCAATACTGCAAATTGTACTGCAACTACAGCACCAGTATTGCAGCTGATACTGATACTTTTAACCTATAAACACATTTTATGTAGAAGAGAGCTGTGTGTCCTGAGTTACGAGATGAACCATCATCAAGCTGGTTTTTACTTTCCACAATAATTAGCTAACACGAATAAAACACACCTTTCAGCTTTTCATGTTTTTTGAAACTGGTTGTTTTGGAGACCTGGGATGCAAATGTGCCTGTCTTTAAAGTGCTTTGGGTTCACACATCTTTCAAATTGCATGTTTGAAGTATGTTTTTTTACAATAATATCGATATTTGGATGGCTCCACTCATCTCTAACTTGTGTATTTCTAATGAACTTTAAATTCAACACTTGGTATGGCCGCCTTTATTCTTCAACACAGCCTGAACTCTCTTGTGCAAGCTTTCTAGTACCCTTGTATAAGTGTTAAGTGTTAAAAGTCACTTCTTTGTCACTTCTTTTCAGGTTGTAAACCATTACATTACATTTATCAGGAAAGAAATGATAAAAGATGCTTGATTGCAGGGCTAAAAAGTTAAAAGCCCATGTCACAAATGTTAGTGTCATGTTGACTGAGATCTGCGTTTTTAAGGCTATGACTAAATGAGCAATTTATCACCTTAAATAAATACTGATGTAACCATAAGTCTTGTGTTCAAACATGATTCAGCAGGAGGGTGGAATTGCGTCAAACAGACACTTTTTGTCTTCCTAAAGACACAGTCAGATGACTTCAGCTCATTCAAATTGCTGCTGCCAGAGATTAAATGAGAACCAGGAGAAAAGAATGCTTTAGTTGTTTACACTGGCTCCCTTATACACGCAAAATTTATAGAACAGGCTTCTTAATCACTCTGTAATAACAGGGCCATTAGAGCCTGCACGAAGGAGTCAAGTAGCAGAAGTTTGGAAGCAAACAGGATGAACCTGCTTTTTCATATTGTAAACCACAGATGAAACCAACTGTGGCACTGATAATCTCAAATGCATCCCATCTTTAAACACCTTTCGGGCATTTTAAAACTTACTGCTGCACTGAAAGTGAATGACAACTCAATTTCTGTTTGTGTGTTTGTTTTGTGTGTACGTGTGTATTTCCTTTTCAATGCATGTGTTTCTTTTAATTACTTTAATCACAGTTATTTCTCTTAAGATGAATCGAAAATGAATAATTCAAATGGTTTTCCTTTTCTAAATAAGTATGCTGTATAAAGAAACCTAAATAAAACCATCTTGTGTCATGATTACCGTATCTACTAATAGAATACAGAGATTGTTTTTATGCATGAAACCTTTATGCAAATCAAATTCAAATTCAAAATTCAAATTTTATTTGTCACGTATAGTCATACACAGTACGATATGTAGTGAAATGCTTGGACAACTGCTCGTGACCTAAAGAAAACAAAAAAGGAAAAGGCTATGAAT